GGCCCGTCAGGACCGTGGGTCGTGGGTGAATGGGAGGAAGCGGCTCCAGCCTGTGTCCACCTCTAACGCGTGACTGAAATCACTGCTCAACAGCCCCAGTGTGGTTTTGTCCTTTCGCTGAAGTTTAAGGTCGCAGATGACACGTGGGAGTTAATCTTAACTGGGTAGGAAGTGGTGGGATGAGTCCTGATGCTCACAGCCTGCCCAAATCCCTACCCGAGGGAAACACCGACCGCTGGGAAGCTGATGCAGCTGAACTGCTCGGCTCCTGCCAGACCTGGACCAAAACCTTTCTCTTCTGCTTGCACGTTGCTTGTTTGGGATTAAACAAGTGGTACAAAAAGAGCCCACTTCATGTTTTTAAAGAAGACTCCAGCCGCAACCTAGTCTTTACGCCTTCATGCCAAGCCTAAATGGACCCTTCGAGATCTCAGCAGAGCTTGAGCAATTCATGGCCTAGGGAGATGGGGGCGATTCCCCAGCCCAGCATCAATGACACCGACATGAACCGGATGGTTCTGTTAGACCTGTCTGCTCCCAAAGGTATTGGAGAAAAGTTATAAAGAAACTAGTGTGGAAATGTGAGGTATAAATTATATTTCCTATGCAAATCTTTTTCTAGAATTATTGCAGAATCCATGATGTACTGTGATTTATTGAAGTCGTGTAGAATTACATTCTCTGTCCTTAATATTCGCCTGCCTTGGAGTGAAGATGCGAATGTTATCTCTTCTTCTTCTCAGAATGAGACCCACAAGTAAGTAGAGAGGAGGATGTGGACGTTTTGTTTCAATATTTTTATAGCTGAGCAGAAAAAGCCAGCTAAGATCCTTTGAAAGGGCTGTTTCATTGGTCTTACATTTAATAAGTTCTAAATGATTGCATCTGTTTCTGCTCTTGACAATTGCTCTCTCACAATGCGCAGATTCTTTGCTGGGTGAAATAAAAAAAAATAAGAGGTTTCACAAGATGCTTTCAAATGCAGTGGATTAGCCCGCTATCTGCTGTTATTTAGGTGAATGTGCTGTTATTAGTTCGATTAGTTATATTTATTGTACTAATTGCTGGCATAGATGTATTGCGTGCAATTAAAGTAATTTTTAGGTCTACTACCATGGTTAATAGATAACTGCTTGGGTCAATGTGCTCAGTGGATGTCATTTCTTGGTAATTTTATTAGCTCATCTCTCTCACTTTCTGTCATATGAAAGCTATTATTCTCTACAAATAAAATGGAACAAACGGTAGGGAGGCAGAAATCTTGCGAGGATTAGCATGTGAATAGAGTTGAGAAATTCACCCTAATCCAGTGCAAATGCTGTATTTATTAGTTTACAGCTCAGATGCCCTTTCCTTCCACGAAGCGCTGTGAGCTGGCCGCAGCCTCCTCGGTTCGGAGGGCTCTGCAGCACGGCAGGCGCTGACGTCCCCG